CCCCCCCCCCGACTGGCTGACCCAGACTGCTTAGGGTCAGTCTATGCCTCCCTGCAGCACAGAGTGGGAATTCTGAAGGGGGGAAGGGGTTCTGCTTCATGCTTGGCTGGAACAGCAGAAATCGGGCGAGTGACACTCCCCAGGAAATGAGAGATAGAAGCAAAGCACACTGGAAAGCTGGAGTACTTTGCTGTGGCTTTTCTCAGAAGAGAACATATATAGACTAGGATTGGCAAGCTGGTCAACCGACCAGTCGATTAACTGCATATTTTTGACTGGTGAAAGATAACATAGTAATTTTACAAAAATCCTACATTTTGTTTGATAGGTTTCTTAACAGAAATATGATTTTTTTTTAATCGTTTGACACAGTTCTTAAAGGAAAATTTGTACTTTTTCTGCGTATTATTTGAACCTATTGGCAATTTTTTTCTTATTTGTTTTGTTGTTTGTTTTTTAAGCACAATTCCGACTGATTTGACTGCTCAACTGACTGAACTATTTGACCCCTCAAATACCCAACCCTAATACAGACATTTGCTCTCAAAAAGAAACTGTCCTGGGAGGAATTTAACCCACAAATTTTCCAAGTTAATTTTTTTCCTAAAGCAGCCATTTTTGCTTGGGGAGAAAAATCCTGAACATCTGTGCAGTTGCTGCTTTCCCAGGAGAAACTACAACACTACAGAGAAAAACTAAATGTCTGTACATGGTGCTACCCTGCTCACCTGGATTTTTTTTTGCTAATAATTTTTTTTTTTTTTTTTAAATATGTTCTGAAAAAAAAAAATCACTGATTTACCTTTTATAACTTGGTCAGGCTGTGTACAAAGGGGAGTTATAGGATTTGTACAATCATTATCATAATCTCCAGAGGCTCTAAAGTTATGAATTCCCTTCAAAGTCTAAAAGAGAGAGAGAAGCAAGTTACCATAATTTTCAGAGATGACAGCTCGGTGTATAATTTTTAATGGAAAGCAGTTGTTAGTTCAAAAAGTAAGAAATTTTGTGGTTTTCCTGCAGTAGACTAAAGACTTTCTTAGAGAAGGGCAAGTAGTTAGCAAGGAAAGTCCGTATTCAGTGCTTAATATTTATTACTGAACTCTAACACTAGCATTATACTTATTTTTTTTTTTTT